ACTTTCATTGCGATACAATAACAATACAATTAGACAAATAAAATAACACTTTGCCAAGCGTTAAATTAATTGCGATCGCTGAATGCGGTCATAAGAGTTTTGACAACCATTTAACTGCGTTACTTTATTCAATCACCATATAAACAGATTTTATATCTAGAAGGGACATAATACGAAGAAAAGATTTTGCTAAATATATTAATATACAGAGAAACCTTGACAGCCTGCCACTGTATCGATCCGTATTTCTGCCGGCACATTGAAGGACGAACCGTACCTATAAGGGACTATTAAAAGTAAACGTGACCACACTCCCATCGATAAAGCGCCATGAAGAAAGAAAAAGTTCCGATTCTTTAGAAATTTGAGTTAAATTATGCTTTGTATGATATCCAATATCCAGAATAATGCGTCATCCAATATGAATCATCCTACATTTTGTAAGCTGTTGGTTGCGCCACATTATATTTTACTCTGGATGGAAGCTTTATATTCTAGGTCAAACTATGTTTCATTATGATCTTGACACACAAACTACCAATACTGAAGTACCGTCTGTCTCTGAAAAATGCCACAAGACCTGGTAAATTTGTCTCAAATAAAAACACGGACCGCTTTCGAGCTATAGAGTTGGCTATGCTCTCAAATATGACAAAGGAACACAACCTTGGCAGATCACCCTTGGCCGTGGAGCTGTGACCTACATCGCCGGCCTCCCCCTCCTCTCCCCTCGATGCTAGCTGCCTCGACCTAACCTACTTCTCAAAGCACTTGATATTCCTAGCTCTATAGTTTCAGGCAACGATTTTCCAGCTATTTCGTTAGTTCCCACTACTGTATTCTGTAATGATCCTGCTGATAGTACAACCTACTAGGCATAAACTATTTCATGATCTACAGGAAAATCCCCTTGCTGAAGCAAAACCACAGCGCGCTGTGACAACATTAATATCTAAATATAACAACTAACGGCATGGCAACAAGGCAATTGTCAAAAGCAGCTCGGCCCGGGTGGCCAAAATAATGTGGCATTGGTTAGAAGGTCGGTGCAGAATCTTTGGCAAGCTCGACCAAGCTCGGCCGCGAGCTCTGGCGATACAATCACACCTCTAAGTACAGTCAATCTGTAGGTTGAGTGGTGAAAAAAAAACCTAAAGGGTAAGTCTTGTTTTTTCTGTTGCCAAATGACGTCAGTAAGCCACCTTGGCGATGGGCATGTTCAACTCGTAGGCGTTTTTTGAAAAACTCAAAAAAACCGTCAAAAATTTTTTGAAACGCATTTTTCTTGTTTTGTATGCATTTTAGAAACTTTTTTTTCGACCATAATTGTAGAGGGCGTTGAGTACTACAATTTATGTCATTGTTGCAATCTCGTACAACAAAAAATGCCCATTGTAGGTGGCGCTAAAGTCTCAAAAAAGTGTTTTTTCACTTTTTCACCCTGAAAATATCATTTTAATGGAAGACTTTAAATGGCAAAATTATTTCGTACATAATTACCCACAACTTTTGCATAAACAATTTTTTTGTATTACTTACCGTTTTCAAGTTATAAATTGCGCAGGTATGAAAAATCCAATAGAGCGGTTTTGGGCAATTCAAGTACACATTTGCAGTGCACATTTCAATGTACGTTTTTACTAATTTTTTTTCAATCATGAAAAAGAATAAAAATAAAACTATATTTTTTTAACTTTTTTTTGTTTTTCAATCATGAAAAAAAATAAAAAATAGTAAAACGTACGTTGAAATGTCCATTGCAAATGTGTACTTGAACTGCCCAAAACCGCTCTATTGGATTTTTCATACCAGCGCAATTTATAACTTGAAAACGGTAAGTAATACAAAAAAAATGTTTATACAAAAGTTAGATAGATAGATAGATTAACACTTTATTATAACACCAAATACATAATTACGTAACATTCACAAACAATAATATTAACAAAAGCGTTATAATTGGCGGTCTTATCGCTAAGAGCGATTTCTTCCAGACAACCACTGAGTATGAAAAGTTATACAGATACCATAGGGGTGTTAAATGGCTTGGAATAAATAGTCACATCCATACATACAATCTACATCAAACTAAGTATCCTAATTAGACATATAAATATATATACATACATACACATATATATACATATGCATTTAATAACATATAAACATACTTACACATATATACATACACATACATACATAAACATAACATATATACGATAAAAAGTTTACACAGTAAAATCAGATTCACTGCGAAAGATAGAAATTTTTGAGCTGGTCTTTGAATATATTCAAAGACTGAGCGCGTCTGATATTAGTAGGCAACGAGTTCCAAAGCCGAACAGCTTGTACAGCAAAAGAATGGTCATAATAGCTGGTACGGTGAACAGGCATTGTAAGGGTCAGATTTTCTGATGACCTAAGGGAAAGCGATAGGGAATTTTGAAACTTAAAAAGTTCCTTGAGATAGCGCGGGGAGAAGGGATTAAACAAAATATTGTAAAGGAGTGCTAGTATGTGAGTATTCCGGCGAAGCCTAATGGGAAGCCACTTGAGCTTAGAGCGAAAATTGGAAACGTGATCATATTTGCGCAAGCCAAATATAAATCTGATACAGAAGTTTTGGAGTCGCTCAAGTTTATTTAGCTGTTCCTCCGTTAAATCCAAATAGCAGGAGTCGGCGTAGTCTAGTAAAGGAAGCAACAGAGATTGTGCTAGTGCAATTTTAGTGGCTGTAGGAAGAAAGTTGCGCAATCTTCTGAGAGACGCCGCCGACGCATATAATTTGCGACTGACTGACTGTAGCTGTAGGCCCCAACTTAAAGTATTGTCGATGGTCACACCTAAATTTCTAACAGATGTACTGTACGGAATATTAGTTCCAGCAAAGTTGACCATAGGGAGAGTTTTTAAGGTAACCTTTGCCATCATTTTGGAACTACCGACTACGATAGCCTGTGATTTTGCAGGATTTACTATAAGGCCAAAAGATTTGCACCAGTCAGCGATACGTTCTAAATCTAAAGAGATAGTAGATATTGCATCATTCAACTGTGAAACGGACGCTTGGCAATACAACTGGAGATCATCTGCATACAAGTGGTAGAACGATGAAAGATTTTGAGAAATGGAGTTAATTAAAACGGAAAATAAAAGAGGAGATAAGACGCCGCCTTGTGGTACGCCAGCAGCAGTCACGCACCAAGATGAGAATTTCTCATCCAAGCGCACCCGCTGCCTGCGTCCATATAAATAATTGTGAAACCACTCGATTACCGTTGGAGATATGTTAAAAGAGCTAAGGAGTGCTAAAAGAATGTCAAAATTGACTGTATTAAAGGCATTACTGAAATCCAATAATGTTAGTACCGTTAGAAGGCCCTGTTCCATACCCAGGCGAATATCATCAGTAATTTTGACAAGAATGGTAACAGTACTATGCCTAGGTCGGAAGCCAGATTGAAATGGGTTGTGGAGGTCATATTTAGAAAGGAATGCGCTTAATTGGTTATGTACAAGACGCTCAAGTGCCTTGGATAGGAAAGGAAGTATAGAAATGGGACGGAATTCGGTGACAGATTTAGGATTAGGCTTTTTAGGTAAAGGGATAATTTGAGCGTCTTTCCATGCAGAAGGGAAGTCACCCTCAGTCAAGGAACAATTAAAAATGAAGGAAATGACTGGAAGGATGAAATCAAGAATCGGCATCAACATATTGCGACTAATACCGTCACTACCGACAGCATTAGAGGTGATTGACAAAATGCTCTTTTTAACATCACAATCCGATAATCGAGCAAAGACAAATGGAGGAACGTCAGGCAATGGTAAAGAAGAAAGGTAGTCAATGGTCTTAGTTTTGTCAGAATTACTAATTCCAGATGATGAAGAAAAGTGAAGTGAATTATGTACGAAACAACTTTGCCATTTGAAGTTTTCCTTTAAAATGATATTTTGAGGGTGAAAAAGTGAAAAAACACTTTTTTGAGACTTTAGCGCCACCTACAATGCGCATTTTTTGTTGTACGAGATTGCAACAATGACATAAATTGTAGCACTGAACGCCCTCTACAATTATGGTAAAAAAAAAGTTTCTAAAATGTATACAAAACAAGAAATATGCGTTTCAAAAAATTTTTGAGGGTTTTTTTGAGTTTTTCAAAAAACGCCTACGAGTTGAACATGCCCATCGCCAAGGTGGCTTACTGACGTCATTTGGCAACAGAAAAAACAAGACTTACCCTTTAGGTTTTTTTTTCACTGAAACGATATTTTTTTCGACAGATTGACTGTACTATAACACCAATTGCATTCTGTATAGAGTTTCCTTATGAACAAATTCTGTCGATAAACAATTGCATATCAATCTTTGGCATATTTAAGTATTTTGTCGTCTAAATTCCAATTTCGACCAATTGCGTTTTGAATTATTAATAATAAGAGAATTTGTGGACATCCGTTCCGAATCATTAAGATTAGTTAAGGCAGATTGTTCCGCATTTTATGGTGCATATCTTAAAATAATGTGATTATTCTTTGATTTGTCGTCAGTTTTAAGTTATATTTTTAAAGGACTATTGTTTTTAATAATAGAAATGTGTAAATGCACTGGTGCGGTATGCGGACGGGCGCAGGAGGGCGTTGTAGAGTCAGCAAGGCCGCGGACCGACCTAGAACCACTTCCGTATATGTTGCCTTTTATCTAACGATATTCCTTCAATACATCTATTGTTGAATAGAAAGACGTTTAAACTGACCTTGTCAATCAGGAAAACTCTTAAAAATCTTGTTATTTTTTCCTAAAATTTACAACTATGAATCGCTTAAATCTGGCAGTTGTACAAAAACAATGATCTTCATGGTTGCCCGAGTTGTCACGACGATGGTTCAAAACTGATTTCATCACAATATTTTAGCCGGTCAGCTCCAATATTCGTCACGATTTCGCGCGATTTATTGCTGGAAATTAGTGTTTGAATTTAGATTTTCTTTTGTTACAGATTAACAGCGTTGTTTATGAGTGCGTGTGGCGAGGTTGCGGATACAATACCAACACATGCAACGCGATTGAAGCTCACATACGACAATCCCATCTGGGGTGGGTAAACAGCAAATACTATTTCTTACATAACTGCTGACTTTAAGAGCTTCAAACATTAGTTAAAACGGTTGACTTCCAATTATGTAATGTCGAAAAAAACGCTTTATGAACAAATTTACCAGAGCAATTTATGTTACTTACACAATTTACTGTTACGCTTGTTTTGCCCGTGGCGTACCTACACTATTCTTATCTATGTATAAGACGTCATTTCTTGCGGAACGACTGAAATCAAGGTTTTCACAGCCGTAAGTTATGCAACTGACTTAACGTGTGGTTGATTCCGATGAGAGGACGTACAGCATATTTAACTTGCACGTGTAACAAAGGTCACGTGCGCTGAGAACAACACGTGTAGGTGCAATAGCAATTGCGCAATCACCCCACCCAATACGTTTCAATTTCAAGTCGTTGTTTTGTTCAATAAACACCATCTATGTCAACATAGCAATAAATTAAGTCTGATAAGCTTATCAAGATCACTTTCGAAAAAGCATTTATAACATGAAAAGAATATCTGGGGTAAAGGTACCTATACTTATTGACAGTATATGTGCTCTTGTGCTGTGCTAAATCGACCTTTGCTCTATATGTAACGAAGTACTTCAAGAATAAAAGGGGCGGCCCTTGGTTGACCCGGAAGCGATGGTTGGCAAGCGACAAGGTTGGATTGTACCCGCACCGCACCCGCGCGCTCCGCAAGCAAGGTCGCCTGCCGCCAGTCGCCGGCTGCGGCTGCTTACGTAACTCCACTAATGACGGCAATACATTTCATTATAAATACTTACAAAATGTTATACATATTAACAGCTCGTTGTTGCACTGAAAAAATTATCTTTATATATCCATGAAAAAATTAAATAAAGAATGTAGAACTTTCAAATTTCAGACCGATGCAGGATCAGACTTACATACACGTAAATCTGATCCATTTCAAAGTTTTTGGGAGCAAATTGTAAACAAAAACTTTACCTCCAATTTGCCGTACTTAGATCTTATCAAATGTAAAGCATCTGATTGTCAATTGATTTTAGTAACGCTCAATGAATTTCTATCACTGAGCTGTTTAAACTAACACTTAACTACAAGATCTTTGCTTTTACTCTTGAAACATTTGCAATACCAGCCACAATAAACGTATGGGTGGGTATTTTCCTGAATAATATACATATTTGCAAAATCAACCAAACTACATAGTATAAATCAAATTCGCTCCCGCTGTCTGTAAACTTAGATCTTATAAACTACGCCACGGATTTTCGTGCAGTTTTCGAAAATTTGTTTTTTGCTCACAAACATTTGAAACGAACAAATCACAATCAAAGTACTGGTATTCCCCTGAATGATATATTTGCTGCGACAAAAGCTTTAACGTAGTTTCAATATTTGTTTTCAGGCCCAAAAAGGAGGGTGAGAGTGACCACGAGGAGGAGTTCTATTACACCGAGCACGAAGTGGCGACCCCCGCGCCGCCGCCTACGCTGTCCCACCGAGACATGTGCCGGCCCCCGCATGAGGACCCGGAGTACCAGCGACAGCTCGTCGGGTCCTACAGGTACCTATTACGAACTACAAAAATAGAACGCACCTATAAAATGTAGCGTAGGAATAAGACAGATACAGTTAGATATATACAACCACAGGCTTGTGTTAGCTCTAGTAATTTTAAAGCAAGGTGTCGTTGACGTTCCAGCCATATTATCATTTAAATACAACGATATTAAAAAAATGGTTGCCTGTAAAGTCGGTTTTACGGGCGAAGATTTTACGTGACAACGTCTTTTTCTCGGTAGAATATTTATTGATATGAATATAATTAAATTGCACAATAGGAACAAGGAATTGAATGAAAATAAGAATTGCACAAATTTTAACTATAGAAATATATTTTGTTTACTAAAACATTGTACATGTAAACTTAAACTCATCGTAACGTTACCGAGCGTTACACTTTTTCATAAGTGACTCCCAGCCGCAACCTAATTTAAGACGTTGTCACGTCAAAAACCCTATACACCACGTATATAAAAAAAAAGTTGTGTAAATAGAATAAAGATAGTAGTAATACGAGTTCAAGCTTTGGCCTGTATGACATAGTTACTAATAAGTTACTATTCCATTAAGCGCTCGACTTGTGATAAATGTATACACTTCATAAGAAAACGTAGACATGAACGGACATTTTGTTTTCCAGGCAAGGGCTACTCTCAACCATGCAGAATGGGTCGGCGAGGCCTATAAGCATTCCCGTATCGCATTCCTGGTCCAATTCACACTCGCCGGTAAGCTTTATTAACTTTCAGCTTTTTAACTCTATTATTATAGCAACACAGACACAGTAATAATCTTTTAATTTTGGAACGAAGTTCCTTTTCGGACGGCATGGCGGATGGGAAAATTTGCAAGATTTTTCCGTCACAACCTAGCGAGGCAGCTAGCTGGGAAGCTGGGTTAGGATACTTTTTTTTATGGAATAGGAAAGTATGAAATATGTTGAGATGGACACGGACGGGGACCCAGGCCCAATCTGCCCTGTGCTCATTCCACACGGATTGCGGATTAATAAAATAAACATTTTTTACTTCGTTCCACGACACTCACTCAATTTTTGTTACTTACTTGTTTTTAGCCAGGATGGGTTTGGTATCTTGAAATTTTTGTGCAGAAACACATGAGGCTATCAGGCGCCAGCGGATCTCCAGGGAGTCCCGGACGGCGGCCTCGCTCTGACAACAAGAAATGCCGCAAAGTGTACGGTATGGACCAACGTGACCTCTGGTGTACGCAGTGCAAATGGAAGAAGGCGTGCACTCGCTTCGGCGACTAGCGCACACGCCGCGCGGCGCCTGGCACGCGCCTCACGCTACTCAAAAACCAACCATAAAACCTGAACCTTAGGACCTGAACTATTTTATAGACAATTCGCGAGTGCAACTACAGCAAATCGTGATCTCTAAGAAGCTTATATTAAGAAATGTTTTTATTTAATATTAATAAAGAAAAGAGAAAATTAATATAATACACTTATATCGGATAATGAATCGCGAAGGAGACATATTTTTTTGCTCTTCAAATGTTGCTCGTATTTTAACTGCATAATATGGACATTGCCCACGTATTTTTGTAGCGCAGTAGAAATTTGCCTTTACTGTGACGTGCATGCGAATACGCATGTCGCTCTCGGCTGCAGACTGTGAATATTAGCTGTAAGGTATATTTTAAGTTTAGACTGAGACGGGGCAGTGTGGGGCAATCACCGAGCCGGGACACGATTACCTACTGAATGGATTCATGATTGTTAATAATGGTGCATAACAAACACCGTTTAACACCCTACATCACACATTTTTAATTATGTGATTTATCAGAAAAAAATATAGAACAAACTATCAATGCTTGATTTCCCTGATATGAATTGCAACTATTGATTTAACTGCAACAGATGCATTCGCTCTGAAACAACTCCTATAATCATGATGAAAATGGTGCCAACAAGGTTTATGCTGCTCTTGGCTTTTCAACGCTTCCAGTAGTGAAATCGTTACATACATTAATAAAGTCAGTGAATTCCGTCCACATTTTCGAATGTGCTTTAGAAAGTACCTAGTTGCGTAGATGGCACGTCGATGTTTTCACACTGCTCACGACTGAACGCGTGCGCAATGCATTCTATAACGTGCATTGCTAACTCGCTCGGTTCATATTATACTCGACTCGGTATAATATTTCCAGTCGAAAATCCTTCGGTGATATTAATCACTAAATTATAATGAAATGTATATTGACTGAATTACTAGATAATAATGAAACAAAACTACTTTATATGAATTAGTCTCGTAAGCTATCTCAGATTCGACGAAAAGACTACAAATCATGTTTTAGACTTAAAATTTTTATGAACATATCTATGTGGTATACATTGGTGGTCTTGTAACAAAGAGACAATACTCAGCGTCGCTCGCGTAGCATTGGTCTTTGCGATGGAAGTCCCGGTACTATTCAAAGTACCGCGGATAAAATGAATGTGTGATAACTGCGACACGGATTAATACGTAACGCACACTGATACAAGTGCTTTATTTAGCTAAACAGACAAAGGTGATTCTTAATTGCTATCTACAATTATCACACCTTTTAACATCTCTATCGAAAGAGCATTATTGTCCCTATGATAATGTTAATAAGGAATCGCATCGTCGTTGATAAAACGCTATAAAAACTTCTGCATTTAACGACGACTTGCCTTACCTTTTTCATGATACTTTTGTTTAGTATTTCCTGTCGCAGCCATCTCGACTCCATGGCCACTAAGTTTTAATGATTGGAAATGGATATTGACGGAAACATCACTGGAATGACTAATGGGGAAATGGAAACATCACGACATGCGTGCTATGATTCTGCGTGTTCATCGAACGCCGTGGACTGGCGATCAACATTCTATTTAATCGAACAACATTTAAAGCTAACTTTAGATTGTTTAAATAACCAATAAATTATAAACAGACAGGTAACAATCCTGTCAATCCCATACAATAAATCAAATAATTGTAAAACAATAAGCTAGGTGTATTTTTATAATTTATTGCTTCTTTTTACACACTTTAGCTTTCGATCGAGTAAAATGATTGTCACTTGTCTTCGGTTCCAGGAGGGGGATTCGGACTGTACGTTGCAGAAGTTTCAGAAACTTCTTTTCAAGTCCTATACCGCCTATTGTCCATAAAGTTCTAAAATATTTTTTCTCCTCCTAAACATTTTAATGTGACGCGGATATATGTAAAAGAGGTATGAATATGAACAGCACATAAGTACGAGCAAATGAAATGAAGCCGATGCGAGCTGCAATATTATTTATAAGCATAAGAAGACGTTCAAATTTGTAAATATTAATTATACATATGATGAATTATGAAATATTATACTTTATATATATAAAGATATAGGTATATATTATAATATTATAAAGAATAAAGCAATGTTTGGGAATGTGTACATAAATATAATATTACTTAAATAGTATTTGTTACTTAAATTAATGTGATCGTTAAATCGTATATTTGTGCGGTTACATAGTAACGTGTTTCGTTATTAATTTAGCTTTTGTTTACGTAATTTTATATAGCGCTAGCATTGAAACCCCGGTGCGGCCCTCCGGATCCCTTTGCAGTTACCAAGGTTCGTTATATTACTTAGTTTTTTTTATGTGATAAGTTAATAAACGTAAAGATATTTTTAATTAGACTAAATTCTACGAGATTACAGTTACGTTACATAAGAAATATGTGCCAATTGCGTATAAATTATTAAAGTGTAAAAGCCTTTCCGTATATTCTTTTATAACGCGTTCAAGTCTTTTCTATTAGGTACTCAAGGACAAATGAAAAATCTGTAGTCTTTTATTTCATTCTTTATGCTTACTTTAGGTTGTTCTTTTTATTAAAATCCATACACATTACATCTATGCTCTGTTTTTTCAAAAATGTAATAGTTTAGGTCACACTGATCACAAGACGGCCAATGGTGGCTGGCGTTAGAGTTTGAAAGTCTGTTGGTAGATCACAACTATTTTCATTATAATTTATTGGCAAACGAAAGTACATATAAAACGTAACAATTACGAATTCAATACAAAATACGTAATGACATTATTCAATGTACAATTTGTATAACAAATTACTTTTTTATTTAGAAACATTAATGAATATTTGTGATTTAGAAATGCATATTATCTCACGTTTAAATTGAACTTTGAAATCCTGTAATGAAGTTATCGCTATTTTTCAACAAGTATATTGAAGTATATTTTAATAAGTATAATATAAGTGCAATTAGTAACTGTAAAAATATAAATAAATACAGTTTATACAATAGTAATGTAAATATAAACATTAAGTATTTACGATAATAATATCAAAATAACAGTATAGGAACAGACTATATTTTCTGCTTCAAAAGTGTAACATATTTTTCGAACATCATTTCGTAATTGTTTAATAAAGGAAACAAAAAAAACTTGCCAAATTCCGGAAAAGAAACTAAGTTACAGGGTGCCTATTGCTTATCAATACAAAAAAAAACTGGTCAAAATTCAAAACACGATGTATTATTTACGTGACGTACCTGCGATTATTACCAAATAAATATATATATTCATTGCAATAATGGTTGTGATAAAACATCATAAAAGTTGTCACTTTTTAGCGAACCTTCTTGTTTCCGTAAAAGCAACGAAATAGCGCGCTCCAAAAAGCTTAATCACGAATGTTAACACTAACGCTAGAAGTTATTTGTAATGTATAAAAGAAAAAACTTCCAACAATACAGCTAGCGATTTGACAACTGCCATATTGTAAGGATCTAGAAATAACAATGGCTTAGGTTAAAAAAATATTAGACATAGATATATTTTAAGTTTGAAGTCATAATAATAGTATTTAATAGATAATATTTGACACAACACAATGAATGTGTTACGTTTTTAATAACATTTATTACTCTTTTTAATTACAGGTGATCTTTATTTTTATATAAATCAATAATTTTATGCCATAGCCAAGATTTAAATACATACTTTTTGAATTTGTATGTACTTGTAATGTCAGTGGAAATCGTAGCTCCTTACTTACATATTTGCCTTGCGAAATGTATAACTTTTTGGAAAAGCTAAATACTTTCTCTTAAAACTATTTGTTTTACGGGTAGCGTCTGTTAAAACACTGCTAAAAAGAAATGGTTTTTACATAAAAGCTACGTCACCGATTTAAACAAAAAATAATGTGATGAATGCGCTATTCTGATTTCTACAATAAAGTTACTCTGGCAAGGCCTCGCAAAATTTTCATTAAAAGTTAATATCTTTTGCCGATCTCAATTAATATTCGAAGCTATTAGAGTTACGTTTCATAAAAACATTATGAATATTTTTTTCTCTTTACTTTATTGTATTTATATTATAGAATTTAGCTGAATCTTTATTAGTTAAAGACACATTATTTTTATTAAGCTACTTGTAAATAATTTTACTTATTAATAATTTATTTAGCCAAAATTTTGCTCAATTTTTACTGCACTCAACACCAAAGTCATAACATAATATTATACAAGAGAGTTAAAATATTAACATATCAGTACAAATGGGCATAATTCACACGTATTCTTCATATGATCAAACGACCCATATCTAACGGTTATTTTTATTCGATTGAGTTAAAGACGACAATGGACCCACCAGGGGGACATGTTGGTGGGATCAGGGGTAATATTTTCTGTTCAATTAAAAGATAAACAATAGAAATGAATTAGTTGAAGGAAAGTATAAACTCATTTTAATTCCAAAATCATGAAAGTACAGTCGACAACACATCAAGTTCCAACAAAGTAACAAAATTTCTCAATTAAACTGTAAATCTTTATTATATCAAGCTTGATAAATCTTAAAGTGTGTTTGGGAAATAGGATAGGTAGTTTTACCAACATCGCCTGTTACGGACTGTACTTAGCTCAACGTGTTGGATTTTTTATTATTTTGTCAATATGTAACAAGAAACAAGCTTAAGAATTCTTATTGTTCAAAAGTAGATACGTTTGAAATAATAAAATATATTCTTACAATTAAAACATTTTAATAGTGCCCTTCGATAAACCCCTCGTTCGACCAGTAAGCGTCACTCAAATGTCCTCCTGAAGACAAAGAAGTGGTGGAGCCTTCTGACACAGGCCGCTAGTCGAGCTCTAAGTCTTATTCGTTAATCGATTATTTCTTTCAATATCATAACTGAATTAATATATCAAGAGATTGATAACTGAATAGCTAATCTTAAGAGTTCGTTAATTTTAAGACACAGTTCATAATTTATTAGTAAAGCTGGTGGGATGCCCGCTTAATTTACGGCGCACGAACCTCGTCTTCGTACTTAGATCTATCGTTAATAATTATATAGTATATCGATTCAAAAAAATTCATTTAACCATCTCGTTAGATATAAAACTTATCCTATGCTATTGTTAAAGTATTCAAAGCCTGAAATAATTAATTCCTATTTGGAATTATGTCGACAAGATAACGCAAAACTTTAGCCCACTTCTTAAGAAATTAAATGTGTATGTATGTAAATTCTATCTATCTAAATTCTTCTTATTTTCTGTAAATTAAAAAAAAACATTTGTGTAAATATGTAAATTTATAATATCAAAGATCTCCCTGGACTTAATGATTTTGTATTACTTGCCATACAAAAGTTGGCGTGATTTCGGCATTATTGGAATGCATTTCACTCTAAACATAATCATCAGTAATAACATTATTCATACCGTTGTAAGTCAGCATTCTGAATAAATTCATTTAAATGTAACCATAAAACATAAATAAGATCCAATTTAAATTTTCAGTATGTTTAGTATGTTAAATAAATAAATAATTTTCGAAGTAATTGTTAGTACCTAACTAGCATAATATATTTCCTCCAAATAGGTTTACGGCACTATTGTTTCTAATTAACTATATAAATTTACGAATAAATTAATATTTCTATATTTGGTTCATATTATCATTTGAATTTTGTATGTAAATATAATGCAATAGTTTATTCTGTAACATACTGAATAGTATGTGGGCAATCACAATTTAATGAAAATATGTCTCCTGTTTTAGATAAGTATCTCCTTTTCAATTGCGTCGTGGCGGAGCACATTACCACACTTTCATTGAACTATCAAAGCAAATCCTTGATGAAGTAAATTACAACGAATTCTTTTTCTAATCCTGTATTTAAAACAAAACATGTAGTGCTCCACCATGTTGCGTAAACTGAATGGAATTTATTATTAAGTTTGTATTACTTGTGTACTGTAAGTTATTACGAAGCATTGGTTTGTCACATATAAATAATAATGTATAGATATATCTCTACAATACTTACATACATATACAGCATTTTCTTAAATCTATTCACCGGTAGCCTTAAGATACGGACAGCAATACTATATTTTGTGTTCTGTGTCTTTGTGTCGCGGTTTGGAAATAATTTCAGTTGTATAAATGTAGTGTCATAAGTCTTTTGTTGCCGAGATGTCTCGACGCGTCATCGTTAGTTACCAATAGTTGTAAGGTTGCAAACAACATTATAATCAAATAATGTTGGTTCGAGATAAATCTACTCGTCGTATGTTCTGATGCTTTATTGTTTGGTTGTCAATATCACAGCAGTTTTTACCCAAGAGAGACTGTCAGCTCTACAATTGTTTTTTCCTATCCACTCATGACGCACATATTTATACTTAAATAAATGTTTCTGATCTATTATTTTTAATTACAATACCGTTTTTCTTCTATAAAATATTAATGGTAGAAACTAGCTGGCAGTTATTCTACTGTGATATTAATAATTCTATTTATTATTATTTTTATTAGATTATTATTTATATCTTTAATGTTGAATGTGAGCGAGTGTTAATATTTTACTGATATCACGTAATTAGGCAATGTTATTTTATATTGTACCTAATGCTAAAAAAGGTCCAGAATGTGTTCCAATCAATTGATTTTATGAAGTATAGATATTACAATTATATTACCTATTGAAATGTTTATGTTAATGTGTTGAAATAAAAAAAAGCATGTTGGAGAAGTGAAAATCGTATAAAAAAGTTGTTAGTATTGTACAAAACAAAATATACTTATAATTTTGAGCATCACAAATTCAACAGCCTCACATGTGATCGCACTTTGAGCTCTCTATAATATCTAATGCATTTCATAGCGAACGAACTATGAAGTACTACTCAATAAATGTTATAATTGCAATGAATCTTTATGAAAATGAAATGTTATTATTTTACTGTAATGTACTGATACTAGTACACTATCTGCCTGATGTATTATACCTCAATAAGTTTAGTATGGATTTTGTGTGTCTTAAAAAAATATATATCGATTATTAGAACCCCTGTGGCATTATTTTTCATTTCATTCCTCTTCGAAGTTATCATAATTTCTTTCTCACTACCTACCTTTACTCTGAAGGTATGTAAATCGTAAGTACCTATCAAAACTAACCTCTGATACCACTTATCCCCATAATTAGTAAACTTGGAGCGGAACTATTGAGATTTTCATGTCATTAGTACCGTTATGGTCAAATATTGGATCAAATAAAAGCAAAATTTTATCAAAAGATAACCCTTATCACAACGCGGGATCCGGATGAGGCAAGTGGAATTAGAGCAAAAATATAAAATACACAATGATAACTTTAAAGAACCTTTGATTGTTAAGAGTGATTCGTATAGATAAACAATTTGCATGTAACTTCTAAGAGAATAATAAATAAATATCAAAGACAAACATAAGTAATGAATAGAAACGAAAGTGTTTTATGGAACAACTCTAGACCTAAATTAATTTATTTCAAAATGTGTTATTTTACTCATTATATATTTACAAATATAAACAATAGATATTATTACATTTTGTTTTAATACTGTCTCATCTTTAACAAACCGAAATAAAAAAGTTCACGTACAAGCAAGGCCAGTGGTTAAAATTAGAGCAATTTTATAAAAAAAGGGTTTGTATGGACTGCTATGATTTAAATTTATAAAACAGTTTCAGTCTTACTTACCTGAAAGTCAAAGGATACCTAACCTAACCTAATCCTTCACAACTATACCTAACTAAAATGATAACAATTCACAATATCTACTAATATATAAATACAAAAGAAACTTCTGTCTTAGTCTTCTTAGTCTTAGTAGAACGGCGGGCTGTTTCCGCAACTCGACACACAGTGCCTATTTTGCGTGGGGATTGGCATCAGTCCTGCCATCCCAGCTCCTCCAAAAAGCTCAGCAGTCCCCGGATGTTGCTGCAGGCTTCTACTAGTGTCCGGGGGCTTCCCATTAGAGAAGTCCTTTGTCTCGCAACGCCTCTGCACTCCAGCAGAACATGGGCGCTCGTCTCCTCTTCCTCCAAGCAGGCTCTGCACAGAGGGCTGTCAGAAATACCTATATTATAAGGTGTTTGTTGAAGTAGCCGTGACCCGTGAGTATACCCACGATTTGTTTCAGGGCTTGTCTAGGTAGTCGGATTAACTTACGTGATAGCTGCTGGTTTACCTTAGGAACAGCTTCCCTAGCTTGCCTGCAGTCAGTGTGTTTTGCCCAATATTCATCGTGTTGTCATTGACAGCGCTCCCTTATCCAGGTTCTCAGCTGTCGATAAGGTATGGGTACAATTGGCTCCGGGCCAATGGCCGTCCTGCTGGACCCCTCTCTAGCCAGGCAGTCAGCCGCATCGTTACCCCTTGAGCCGCTGTGTCCCTTAATCCATTGTAAGGTCAGTCTATTGTCATTGCAAATATTGGATAACTTACAGTGGCATTCGTAAATTAACCCTGATGTCATTATATTGTTGTCTAGTGCCTGTAGGACAGAAGCGCTGTCAGAGAGAATACGAATATGTTTTCCTCTTACCCCGCGGCAGTCTATCGCCTCTGCGGCTCTAATGATGCCCACACACTCTGCCTGGAAGACTGTGTTATGTGCTCCCAATGCTGTTGAGATGTGTATATTTAGGTCTTCGGAGAAGACACCCGAACCTGTCCCGCAGTTGGTTTTTGAACCATCCGTGTAGACCCTTAGCTCCTTGTGCAAACAGCGGTCCGAAGTGTCTTCATACAGTTGTACTTTATATTTTTTGTCAAATACGTACGTCTTAGGAATAAGGTCGTTTACTGCTGCAAAGTACGGAAAGTGCCTGTGTATGTCTGCTAAGATACTGGTATGTGGAGAGTTGTTGTCCCTCCATAGCCCCAGCATGCTTAGGCGAGTGGCTGTACAAGCAGCCTCCTGTTGTATAAATAAATGGAGTGGTCTCACATTAAGTATAGTCTCCAGTGCTGATGTGGGAGAGGTTTTCATGCAGCCGGTGATTGCACAGCAGGCTCGCCTCTGGAGACGTCTTAACTTATTAGTTGTCGTTACCTGGATTGTCTTGGTCCAGCATACTACTGCTGCATAGCTGATGATGGGCCTAATTATTGTCGTGTACAGCCACCTGACAATGAACGGTGCTAGTCCCCAAGTTTTGCTAATCATTTTCCGACACTGCCAGAAAATGATGTTGGTCTTCGTAGTAGTTTTGTCTATGTGTGATCCCCAGTTCAGTTTAGAGTCTAGGGTTACTCCTAGATACTTTACCTCATTGGAGAGAGTGAGTGTCGTGTTTAAGAGTTTCGGTAGCCGATAGTCACCTAAGGATCTTTTGTTCGTGAACATTACCAGTTCTGTCTTCACCGGATTCACCTTGAGGCCATAGTCGTCACACCATTTTTCAACCACCTTCAATGCTCCCCTTGTAACATCACAGGCGGTGCTCGCAGACTTACCCGGGACCATGATTGCCAGGTCGTCCGCGTAGCCCACCGTGTGGAAGTGAAGGTTGTTTAGTTTGGTGATTAAGTCGTTTACGACAACATTCCACAGAAGAGGCGATAGTACTCCTCCTTGAGGACATCCTTTAGTCGCCAATGCTCTGAGATGGTTGTCGTTCTGTAGTCTTATTAGTCTGTTACGGAGCATGTTGCTTACCCAGTATATGATGGTCTCGTCTACTCCGTGTTTGCCGAGTGCGTCTACAATACTGGCGAAACTTGTTTTGTCAAACGCCCCTTCTATGTCTATAAAGGTGCCTAAACATAGATCTTTCCGTCTGAGACAATCCTCTATTTTACTTACGACTGCATGTAGTGCAGATTCTGTCGACTTGCCTGGACTATAGGCGTGTTGGTTCGGATGTAATGGAATATTGACTAGTTGGTTGTCTCTCAGCTCTCTGTCGCACAATCTTTCTAGAGTCTTTAGTAAAAATGATGAGAGACTTATCGGTCTGAAAGATTTCGCCTCGTTGTAGTCTGCCTTACCTGGTTTTGGTATAAAGATTACCTTGACCTCCCTCCAGAGCTTCGGCGTGTATCTAAATGCAAGACACGCTCTCAGGAGGGGCACCAGGATAAGGATAAGCGCTTCACCTGCCCATTGGAGCAGCGCCGGAAAGATGCCATCTGGTCCGGCTGCCTTGAATGGTTGGAAGCTGTTAATGGCCCACCTTAACTTGTCTGTAGACACTGTCCTCAATGCAGTGTTCCAGGATTGTTCCGTGGGGGTCAAGCTAGTGTCATTCCAAGTATGTGTCGTGTGTATGATACAGCCCGGGAAGTGGGTTTCAAGTAGTACCCTCTGTGCCTCCTCAGTTGTTTCTGTGAGGGAGCCATCAGCCTTCCGAAGCTGCGCTAGTTCTTGCTGCTTGTCTTTAGATAGTAGTTTCCTTACCTTGTTTGCCTTTGTGCATGAGTCTATTTCTGAACAAAATTTTCTCCAAGACCCATTGCTCCAGTGTCGAATGCGTCTTTTGTAAAGTGCCTTGGCATCTTTGTACGCGTCCCAGTCCTGGTCGTCACATGTATTCATGGCCCTGTTAAAAAGTCTTCTTACCTTTTTTCTCAGTTTTTCCAGCTCGGGACCCCACCAAGACTTGCTGGCATCCGAGCTGGATGATGGCGTACTGAGAGGACAGGCTGTCTGATAGCATGAGATGATTACTCTTGTTAATTCCTCAGCTGTTTCGTCTATCTGTTTCATTCAAACCTTCAGACTGCATATGTCGCAGTGACCGAGTTACCTGTTTGCGATACTGGCTTCTGTTTGTTTTGTTAGGTATGCGTCTGGGTGGCTGGGTAACACGCTGTACCGCGATGTTGAACCTAATCCACCTGTGGTCAGAGCAGGATGCCTCTGGGGACACGTGCCATTCAGAGATTAGTTCCGTTGCTGTCCTTGATGCAAGTGTAAGGTCGATGATGGATCTGCCTCTTCTTGTTACAAAAGTAGGTTCAGATCCTGTGTTTATTATATTAAGGTTAGTGGTAAATAGGTAATCTACTAATTCCTCACCTCGTTTGTTGCTTTTCGTCATACCCCACAATTGGTGGTGGGCGTTGGAGTCGGTGTCGATGATCAGCGCCTTGTCTGTTTGTTCGCAGTGTCTCACCAGCTCAGCCAGTTCCCCTGACGGAGTCTCCTCTCCTTCAGGCATGTAGGCAGAGGCAACTACCAGGACAGGTACACTTGGATTTTGCTGTTGTATTATTTGGATTGTTGTTATGTCGCTAGAACAAAATTGTGTCATTATTTTTGCCTGTAGGTGTTTTGAACATACTATGCAGGTCCGCGGTGCGCGGTTACCTGGGTTGTAAAAATTCTTACCACCGGTGTTGTTGAGGCCACATATGATCTTGGATCTGATCCACGGCTCCTGGACCAGAGCAATAGCCCCGTCGTTGTTGTCCTCCAGCCACTTCCTGAGTTGAGCCGTTGCGGTGCGACTGTGCTGGAGGTTGGTCTGCAGGACTTTGACTTTACTCGGTGGAGGCGCCATCGGACGCAAGCAAAACATCGACATCCACCTCCTGCCCGATGTCGATTCCACCCAGTTTGTCTGCCCATTCGTCGATGACGTCCGCTGCTCCTTGCTCACCCAAAGTGGGATCCGCCGGAGACGGAGTCACTGTCACCTGCTTCTGGTCGGGCGTGGATGCTGCTATGCCCCCTGATGTGCTCGGCGACGGAGCAGATGTTGGTGGCTCTAAAGGCGGCAGGCTCTCCAGGTATTGACCGCCCTGGTTCCTGAACCTAACGTACACCGAACCCATCAGGTAGCACAGTCTCCTTCCTCTCTCCAGAAGCTTCTCTGCTACGTCCCTGGTGGTGCTGAACACCAGGAACGTGTTGTCATCACCTGCGATGGCCTTATGCAGTAACCATCGGTCGACGTCTGCTTGTTTATTCTGATAGCGCAGCAGCTTGGCTATCGTATGTGGTTCCCTCGTACCCGGGACAAGAAGACCACACACCACCTTCTTCGGCCTATCAACTTGGCGCTGCACCATCAGTTCATCGTCATACCCGGGGACCTTTAGGCCAGCTACGGTCTTTTTTACCCACTCCAGCGTGCGGGGAGTCTCACACCAGAGGCTGAGAGCTCCGTCTCCAATAATGGGCTTGCCCTTAAGGTTCGGGCCTTCGTCCGTTGAAGGTCCTGCCATAAGGAGTTCCTCAACAACGGCGTCCTCCAGAGCCTTAAGGACAAACCCAGCATGGGCAGCGCTGATGTGGCCTGTCTTTTTGCCCGTAATTACTACGAGCAAGTCGGCTGTAGCAGCATCCGCGAAGGATTTTTTGTCCGTTGTTCGACGCGGCCCCTCGGATCTTGGTTTTTTATATTGACCCCTCGGTGAGACCGTATCGTCCAGTCTGAGCCTTTTCGAGGCCTCTTGTCTGTCCGTCTGTCCTTTGTCGGTTTGTCTGTCCGTCTGTCCTTTAGCTGTCGGTCTGTCTGTCTGTACCTTGTCCTGGGTTCCTTGACCCGTAACAATCTGCTGGGTGGCCTTGCCAGCTGCTGT